TGCCGCCGGCTCCTGCCGCGGAGCCCCAGCAGCAGGGCCGGTCTCCCCAGGGGCCCTCGGTTTCCCGCGGCTGCGTGAGTCCATGGCAGGGGTCCTCAAACTTCTTAAACAGGGGGCCAGTTCACTGTCCCTCAGACCGTTGGAGGGCCGGACTATAGTTTTAAAAAAAACCATGAACAAATTCCTATGCACACTGCACATCTCTTATTTTGAAGTAAAAAGACAAAACGGGAACAAATACAATATTTGTATTTGCATGTGGCCCCCGGGCCGTAGTTTGAGGACCCCTGGTCCATGGGGTCAAGCCGGCGGGAGGGAGATGCTGCCCGGGGTCCAGGTGCCAGGCGTGGCCGGAGCCTCCCGCCCTCACTCAGCCAGGAGGAGCCTAGCAGCCAGAGGCCCTTCCCACCCTCCTCCCTGCCTTAGTTCCCCAGAAGCCCAAGGCCGAGGTGGGGCACGCTGTGCTCTCCCTCCGGCCTCTCCAAGGAGTGAGGAGCCTGGAGCCTGTAGAATCAGTTTATTGAGCGGAAGGGGAGGCACTGGGGATGGGGGTGAGCAGGAGGGGGTGGGCAAGGCCTGGAGTAAAGGGAGGGCCGGGGTCTGGAAGACTTGAGGTGCCGAGCGAGGCCTGCTGCTCCGGCTTGCCCTGCACGGACGGGAAAGGCGTGGTCATCCATCCACCCACCCACGCAGCAGACACTCAGACGCCCCAGCTGCCCCGCACACACAGCATCCCCTGCAAGGCCCTGAGAGCTACTCTGCTACCCCAAGTTCTGCAGATGCAGAACACGCCCACCACTGCTCCCCCAGAGGCCCCAGGGCTGCCCCGGGGTCCTGGGGACCCAGCCACAGTGCCAGTGCCACCTCCCCGGCTGGCTGGCTGGCGGTGAGGGGCTGGTGTGGAAGCAAGGCCCAGCGTGGCCCGTAAACACCGCGGAGCCCACAGACCGGCCCCTGACCCCAAAGCTGCTTTTTCTTTTTAAGACCATCTGGGTGGGGGAGGCGGCACAGGAAGACGGGGCTCACGCTCTCAACAGGTAGAACCTTCTGGAACAGCAGGATTTGGCTCGATTCCCTACGCCCTCTCCTCCTACCCGGTAATGTTTCTGAAACAATCACGCGTGTGACGGACAGAAGGCGGCACCAGGATGCCGGCAGCGTCAGACCCACGGAAAGTCAAAGCACCCCAATGTCCCCAGGACCCTGGGTTCGTAGCCAGGACAGCCAGGGGCCCAGGGAACGGGGTGGAGGATAAAGAGGAAGCTGCCCGGTGCGGACGCCGTGACTGCCAGGAGGGGGCAAGGCCGCCTCCCGACCTGCCGACTGGCCCGCCGCATCCGGCCTTCACTGCCTTATTGAGGTTCCCGAATTCTCCTCCAGGAACCTGGGGAAGGGGCCTGAGGGTTCCCTGGTGTCTACTTTGGGGGAAGGTGTCCCCAAGACCCCACCCACCTGCCTGTGTCCCAAGGGCTCCCGGGGACCCAGCTCTGTGAGGGCAGTGAATGGGGGTCTCCCAGGGGACCCTCAGGGAGAGGTTGAGGACCCAGGCCTTCCCAAAGCAGGGGCCTGGTGCCCAGGGGGTGAGCTGGGGCAAATGGGGACACAGACTGCACCGGGTTGGATAGATCCCCCCAACATTCAAGTCCACCTGGAACTCTGAATGTGACCTTTTTTGGAAATAGGTTCTTTCGGACGTAATTACTTAGGGGTCTCACAATGAGAGCCCCTGGATTTAGGGCGGGCCCCACAGCCAATGACGGGTGTCCTTGTAAGAAGAAGGACATTTGGACACAGACACGCAGAGGGAGGTGGCCATGGGACAGCGGAGCAGAGATGGGAGGGACGTGTCTACCAGCCCAGGGAGGCCAGGGTTGCCAGCACCACCAGGAGCTGGGGAGGCAGGGGGTCGCCTCTGGAACCCCGGGAGGAGCCAGCCCTGCCTGCCCACACCTCCCTTTATGGCCTGTGGCCTCCAGAGCTGTGAGAGGGTAACGGTCTCTCGTTTTTAAGCCACCCCATTTGTGGTCATTTGTTATGTCAGACGAAGGAAATCCGTGGGGGCTTCCTGGAGGAGGGGGGCTGAGACTGAAGCACCAAAACCAGGCGGAACATGCAAAGTGGATTTGGTGGGAGGGGAATCTGGTGGGAGAGCAGGAGGCCTGGGGAGGAGAGGGGGCGGGCCCTGCAGGACAGGAAGGGGCATTACCCTGTCCTCCGCCTGGGAAGGGTCCAGGTGAATCCCCAGAGCTGTCAGGGTGCCTCCTCGCCCCCCGAGGAGCACGCATCTGTAGGAAGGAAGACAGCCCGTGAGAGGCGGAGCCGGCGGACACGCCCCACCAAGCCCCCAACCCCTGGGTGTGGTGGGGACCGGTACAGCCAAACCCGGAGGGTGGAGCCGAGGACTCTCCCTTCTGGGCTCCCCAGGCCGCTCCCTTGGGGTGCGTGGGGGGGAAGGGGCTGCGGGCAGGAGGGGCTGGAGTCGCTGCCAGCCCAGCTGCTAGCTTAAGCTCAGGGAATCAGAGAGGGGGCTGAGGGCGGGGCTTGGCGGGGCGGGGGCTGGCCTGGAGGGGCGGGGCTT